CATTAAGAAATGTCCTGAAGACATCAGAGAGTTCACAAACAACTGAAACTTTAAGGTTTCAGGGTTTGTTGGTAAAAATATGAGTACTGCAGAAGTGTTATTAAAAATCACAGTAGTTTTACTTACAGTATTATACATGTATAACTTTAAGATATTTCATACAGGTTTTGTTCCTCAACACATTTGTAAAAACACAACAGACCTCTAGTTTTACAGGTCTTGTTTAAATGAACACAAACATTGTTGTTGCCAAACATTTAAAGTTGTAAAGATTAAAAACATTTACATTCCTTTTGTTTTGATATTTGAATATTTTTCTAAATAAAAGATTGTTGTTATAAATGAAGATTGTTGTTATAGTGAAGATACTAGTTGGTCAGGAGAGGATGAGATGTTTATGCTGGGTAGGTTTTCAGTAGCTGTATTTAAAGTGTTCATGTTAATGTTCTTAATTTAAAAAGATGTGATGTATAAACACGTGATGGTTTAACGTTAGATAATGAAAGTGTAACATTAAGAGATTAGCCTATGGTCCAATATACTGTATAAAGGATGTTAAATGATGAGATGAGCTGAATCATTTAAATTTGGACTTAATATAAAAAAAGTAACCTTAAGTATAAAAAATAAAATGGGGACAACTATTTGTTTCTAAGCACAAATGCTTAGAAACACATATTTTTGAAATATGTAACACAAATCAATATTTTTAAAGAAAACTAGAACAAAAAAGTGACTTAATTTATGTGGCGATACTTTTGGCAAAAGTATGAAGAGTACAATCAGAAATTCCTGCTTTCACAATGAAGAGTTTGTTTCCTGCTGATTTTCTGTACAGTTGTGAGCTGTATGGGTACTTGGACTGTGCTGCTCAGTGTGTTTTTTTCCTAAGCAGTTTTCTTCCTCATCATCACTGCAAAATAAAATAAAACATAATTCAGTTGTGAAATACACAAAAGCAGGACTACAGTTGTAAAAAATATACAGTACAGTATGATATATATTTACCTCTGAGAGCTAAATGCTTTGGTCTCCTTATCTGTAGATACGACTTCGAGTGGAAGTGATAGTTTTACTTTCCTATGCTGAATGAGGGGAAAAAACAGATTATATCACTTGAGATCCTGATTAAAATATTAGGTATCTCATTTGACCAATTTCTACTCAGTCACCAACAGAAGTGATG